CACATTTGCCAGCTTTGTAGGAAATACCTGTGGATTAGACACACTCTCGGTCTGACCTGGGTCATTTCATGTGGGCAACTTCATGGCTGCATCCACTCTTCAATCTTTGATAGGAACTCTTTGGAGGAAAATCAGTTTATTAAGGGAAAGTATAAATTTTGGGGGGACACATTCACAACACAGCTGTACCTGAGTGCTTAGAGAATCCCCCCACACACACACACACACATGGAGTTAGAAAAAAGAATGCCTAAATAGAATTTCTAGGTTGGATATAAGAATGGTTAAATTTCCAGAAGTCTCTATGACCATGGGACCTTACCTCAAGCCATTGTACCAGCCAGTACCATCATAGCCTCATATCTACTCCAGTTAAACTCTAACCTACAAAGTCTTGCTTGCCTGCAGTTGTTAATCAGTACACTGCGATAACAAAATCACACTCCCCAGGAGTGTCAGAGGTCAAAATAAGGTACAAAGGTTGTGAACACTTATTGAAAAATGCTGTCTCATTGTGACACAAGTTTTCTGTTTGGATTTTGTTCTTGTTCTTAGGAGCTCTTTGCCTAAAATTACATAGCTGGTAAATTGCTGAGTAGGACTTAGCCCGAGGAATCTGGGCTGTTTCCTCATTTCCAGTGACCTGTGGTACAAAGGAGCCATGTGTTAGTTGAGCACCTCACCTACTGAGAGTGGAGAGGAGCCGTAGGGGACTTCCCCAGGAGGGGCATAATGCCTAAGTCGCTACCTGTCTTAGTTTGCAAGGCCTACTTGATGGTTAATCTTGACTCTGAAGTTAATTAGCTTGAGAGATGTCTGTGATGGTCTAAGCACACTCTGGGTGTATCTGAGTGGGTCAAGGGAGTGTGACCTTGGGACCATATCTGCTTCAGACACCTTCCTCTCTGTCTCTTCTTCTGCTTCCTCGTTGCCACAGGTCAGCAGCTCTTGTCCCCATGCACTTCTGCCATGGTGTTTCTGCCTTAGAGCCAGCAGACCACTGACTGAAATCTCTGAAACTGTGAGCCAAATGAACCCTTTGTCCTTTAAATTGTGTATGTCAAGTATTGTCCCCACAACGAAAAGTTGACCATTACAACCTCTTATGACAAAATACCACAAAGGAGATGACTTCAACAACAGAAATCTCTCCTCTTGAGATCCGGAGACTAGAATTCCCAAATCAAAACATTGGCAGTGTGGTTCCTCTTGAGAGCTGAGACAATCTGTCCCATGCCTGTAATAAGCTTCTCCTGTGGTTTGGGGCAATCTCTGATGTTCCTTGGGCTACAGAAGTATCATCCAAGTCTCCAGGTTTATCTTCACATGGCCGTCTCCCTGTTTCTAGCTCCTAATGTCCCCTTCTTATAAAGTCAGGGTCATATTGGATTAGGGTCCATCCTAATGACCTCATTTTAACTCATTTACCTCTGTGAAGACCTTATTTCCAAATAAGGTCACATTTTGAGGTAGTAGAGATTAGGAGTTCAACATATGAGTGTGGGGGACAATTGAATCCATAGCAATACCTAAAGGATGAGTAGGAACTAACCTTTGAGGAGAAGAAACAAGGGGATTATAAGCACAGGTGTGGCATTTGCAAGGCTACGAGGCCAGAGGACGCATGGCAGGTTGTAATTAAGATCTTATAATAAGGAGAACAAGAGATTAGCCATGACTGAAGCAAGTTTGAAGGGATAATCTGGTACCAGTTCATGAGCAGCCTTAAAAACGTGTAGTTGATCATCCAAATCATGATACTTTTGAGAGTGAAGGGGATTGCTGTTAATATTTAATGCAGAGCGAGAAACCTAAACTGGTTTCTCATGAGCATGTAAGAAAGGGGACTCACTCTACATATAAGCCATGCCA